TAATGGCCCAGTCTTTTGACTGCAATCCATTCCCTAATTATGGTACATCTCCTTCACCGTCCAAATGATTTTAGTGGGGGAAAAATTCCAAACTCTCATCACTGAGGCAGAAGGAACCAATCTTCCAGAACCTAAAAAGCTGAGCAACATCGAGAATGAAACTAAAGGGGAGATAATTATAAAGACAATTATAAAGACAAATAAAAAAAAAAAAGTTCACTTTGTGAGACACTGATGGGGCTATTGGTAAGGTAAATGAGGGCAACAGTAGGATGGCCCCAACAGGAGATAAGTAGAGGTAAATAACAGGATATTAATGTTGCCTACCAGCAAAAGGGTCTAGCCATTAACCAACTGAAAAATGTGTGTAAGTATAGTGTTCTGTACACGATTGATACTTGACTTTCAATTGATACTTTAATTTTCGTAAATTATATTAAGTGAACTGGAGTTACTACGAATTAAAAGAACCACCCACTACCTCTAGGCTAACCCCTAGAACCATTTTGGGAAGATGCAGTCAAGCTCTAGAGACTCAACCTATCAATGCAGAGTGAGTCCCGAGTCTATGTGCTATATGTATATGTATATATAGTCTCTATGTGCTAGGTATGTAATGCCCTGATGTCAACAGGAAATGTAAACTTCCTGAGAAGTGTTTCCTTTATATTTTTGTCTCCCCAGGGCCTAGCATAGTGTTTTGCTCTTAATAAATCTTTGTTGGATCATTTCTCAAGCAGAGAAAAAGACCAACGGAAAGAGCATACATAGAATGGAATGACCAGGGACTGACAGCCCATGGTTCCATCTGTCTTGGATTATCCAAGGCTCTAATTCCCCTTTATTAGCTATTTTATACTGTGGGATGAGTGGGGTAGAGTAGAGAAGGAGGGCCTTATGCTCTTTCTCAAACATAGTCTCTTGACTCTCTGGCAACCTTATCTAAGTTATCAAATTGCCTCAGTCTCTCCCTCCTTCAAATGAATTTGGACAAGGGTCTTGTCACAGCCAAAGCAAAAATATGATGATGACCTTGACCTCTCCAATGTTCCAGAGCTGAGGGTCAGGATGCTAGTGCTTTTCCCAGGAATATTAGGGCATCCCAGGTTCCCTCTGTGTGCAATGACCTACATATGGTTACAAGGGAACCTGTTGCTAATGACCATTCATAATTATCTACACTGAATCAGAGCTGGAGCATAGCTGGGCAGGTTCCCATGCAGCAATGGGTGGAGAGACAAATCACTGCCATGAGACTGTCCCCTTCCTGGCATTCACATTCTGAAGACTGTCTGCCTCTCCAGGGAAGCGTGGCCTTAAAGACCGGCCTTCTCTTCATTTGTTAAGCTTCTTGACATGATAGAATGAAATGCACCATTTGCAAAGAAAAATAAAAGCCTCCGGTTCAGAGCACATGTGGCGCACAATGCCAATGAACAAACACACCGGCTTCTTTGTAAAACACATTTACCAAAGTAGAGCAGAAAGCATGGTGTTCTCAGGCTTCTTTGCAAAGAATGCACTTAATTTGTCCAAGATACAAACAGCTATAAGAATACACTTCACTTTGCCAGGAGAAAAATAGCTATAAGAGTAATTCATGCATGTAATGTTCTCATCTTCCATGCCCTGTATAACTATGAATTAATTCTCAGAGGGTCACGATGAGAAACTACAGCGGCAAGGCTGAAAATGGCAAGTTCTTATCTCCTAAAAAGAAGGCACATGTGACAGGTAAATGTAAAGCAGGGGCACCTATCTTTGGAGAAGAAGGCCCTGGGTTCAAACCCTACTTCTGACATTTCTTACCTATGAAACATTGCGCAACTTCTCTGGAGCTCAGTTTCCAAATTTACAAAATGAGGACATCTAAGGTCCCTTCTGGGCAGCTGAGTGATACCATAGTGCAGAGAGCACCAGACCTAGGGTTGGGAAGACTAATCTTCCTGAGTTCAATTCCAGGCTTAGACGCTCACTAGCTGTGTGACCCTGGGCAAGTCGCTTAACCCTGTTGGCCTCAGTTTCCTCATCTGTAAAATGAACTGGAAATGACAAACCACTCCAATATCCTTGCCAAAAAAATCTCAAACGGAGTCATGAAGAGTCAGACACAACTGAAATGACTGAACAACAACATGATTTTTGATAAATGATCTCACTTGTACTTCACTTGATCTATTTGCAAGTCAACTATCTCATGCTAAGTAAAATGTTCTGAAATTGCTACTCGAAAATAGGTGAATTCGATCTGCAGGCCATCCGCAATGACTATGCCTCCCCTGGACAACTGAACTGTTTTGTTGGGTATTTTTTTTTTCCCACCTGTGTTCTCAGCAACATTGAATACTGATTGCAATCAAGGATTGCTTTCACATATACTGCCCCACCCCATCCCAGCCCCACGTCCCCAAAGCAGCCAAGCCACTTGGCTAAAGATCCCTATGCAGAAGCCCACTAGCAAATGTCCTGTGTTCCCAGGCATGAGGAAACTATGCTAAAGAGTAAAGACCAAGTCATCCCCATAACACATGCAAGGGCTGTGCTGTAACTCAGTAATCCCCTTGGTGATTCTCAGGAAATAAATAATTCAAATCTGGAATCACAGTAACTGAGAGACTGCCATGAAGGCAAAATCACTGCAAACCTTGGCCAAAGAGATTCTTTGATTTTTAAGCAGGTAAACTAGGCATAAAGCCTGGTGTCGAGAACGTGGGTCTTTTAAGAGTTAATTAACAGTAAGCCTCTAAAGCCAGGCATGCTGGCACAGGCCTGTAATCCCTGCTACCAGGGAGGTTGAAGCAGGGGTTCTGAGCTGGGCTAAAGCTAAGGGCTAATGCTGATCTGGCATCCTCACTAGGTCTGGCATCCATATTGTGAGTCTGGAAGCAGGAAGCCACCAAACTGCCTAAGGTAAGGAAGGGTGAACCAGCCAAGGATGGAAATTGAGCAGGGCAAAGATTCCAAGCCAATCAGCTGGGAGATTGGCCTATGAGTAGTTCCAGTTTGGGTGAGACAGAGAGACCCAGTCTCAATACACACACACACACACACACACACACACACTCACACACAGTCACTAAGAAGTAATACATATTTATTTCAGGTCCATAAAACAAGGCCAGAAGCTGATGGTAGGCAAAATATTTTCCCCTTCTGGTCCTTAGTTGTTTTTTTTTTTTTTCTTTCCTAAGGAAAGGAAGGGAAGAAAGGAAAAATTATAGGATTGGAAGGAAACAAGCATTTATTAAGCACCTATTATATGCCAGGACCGTGCTAGGTACTTTACAAATGTCTCATTTGATCTTTACAACAACCCTGTGAGACAAGTGCTATTATTATTCCCATTTTACAGTTGAGGAAACTGAGGCAGACAGAGGTTAGGTCAGAGGTGGGGAAGCTGTGGCCTTGAGGCTACATGTGGCCCTCTAGGTCCTCAAGTGTGGCCCTTTGACTGAATCCAAACTTCTCAGAACAAATCCCCTTAACAAAAGGATTTTTTCTGTAAAACTTGGACTCAATCAAAAGGTGTCACCCAAGGACCCAGAAGGCCACATGTGGCCTTGAGACCTCAGGTTCCCCACCCCTGAGCTAGGTGACTTGTCCAGGGTCTAAGTCTGGCTCTGAACTCACGTCTTCCTGACTCCAGGCTCAGTGCTCTACCCACTGTACCACTTGACCCTTTCCTCTGCCACATTTTATGATCCTGTGTCTACCACTGAAATTGAGAACCTAGAAAATTAGGAACTCTGAAAACAGGAGTTGGGATTGGGGGTTGTGGCTGTGCTACATACAGTCTGGCTCTGATTTTTAATTCAGTTGTTTTCTCCTATCATGGCTGAAGATAACTCAGAGAGTGGACTAAAATGTCTTCTATTTCCTCATATGTAAAACGAAGCAATTAGTGGACATAATTTCTAAGGTCCCCTCCAGCTCTGACATTTTAAGTGAACCTTCTAAAAGAATGGTAGAGTCTGAAGGGATCTTATGACCATCTAGTTCAGTGCGTTCATTTTACAGATAGAGGAACTGAGGCCCCAACAGGTCAAGCTGCCCACGCTCACACAAACAGTCAATGGCCAAGATGAGAATGGGACTAGGAATAAGGAGATGCTGGTTGATGGCAAACAGCACTAGACTCTAGTCTCTGGTTGCCAAACAAAAAGAAATGATTGATGATGATGTGAAATTGGGCATCCTACAAACCAAACCAATCTTACTGCCTGATTTTGGCTTCTCATAACCATCACTCAAAATGATGCCCTGTCTTCTTCCTCTGCCTCTGTACTGCACCAGGGCTAGCTATCCTGTGACTGATTTAATAAAGAGAAACAGGATGAAATACATGGGAACCAATGAAGATGAAAATCAAAAGGAAACAAGACAAATAGTTTAATACTCGCTGAGATCAATGGAGCAATTCAGATGATTTGAGATTTAGAGAAAGTACTTCAGATGAAAAATTATCCAGCCCATACATTGTTAATCATTTTCCAAACCAGTTGAGTTGGCAGTTACAGAAAAAAAAATCCTCTGAGATATCAAACTTCATAACTTCCATATTTCCTAGACCTGATTAAATCATTTTCTCATCTCTTTTCACTGCATTACCAACCTGTTAACAACAATCAAGCCCCACCACAAGCCACAATCACCATGGAGATAACTGTTTATCTTTGTAAGTCGCATATCCTGATAATCAAAGACTGACAACCCCTATGCTTTGTACATCCTCAAAATGACTTAGGGCCTAAGTGTCATCAGAAGAAGACCATACCAAAAAACTCAAAACCCAAAACCCCACCTCTTCCCCCTCAGGGAACACACACTCCTTCTTCACCTCTACCAAAGGCCACTTTTCTCTACTCTTCAGCATGGGCCTTGGGAATCAGACAACAAAGAGATCTCAGCCAAAGTCCTTATCTCTGGCTTTCAACTGACTATTTTCCAGTCAAGACAGTGACCCAACACTGCACCAACAACTCTTGGAAGAATTCACTTACCCTTTTCCTCAGATTGTATGTGAGGATGAGGTTTCTCGAGAAGGAGTGAGAGAAGGCTGTGTAGAATTCTAGCACTTTCTGCAGGGCATCCCGCTTAATCACGTGCAGGTCGCAGTAGGTTAAGGCCCTGACATTGGCACAGGACTGGGCAAGTGTGGCTTCCTTCCAGAACACATCTCCAAACACATCTCCTTTTCCTAAAAAGAAAAAAGGCTATTTTGAGAAAAAAAAACCTACAACCAATAGAAGCATTTTCATCCCAAGATAGTTTCCTTATATCATCCAAACACTAGCTACCTTCTGAGTAGAGACAGAAGGAGGACCCTCAGAACCACACTGTCCACTCTCTATTCATAACATCACATTGCCTCACACAGAGAAGAATCCACTCAACCTTGACTGAGGCCGTTTCAGATCAGTGGCTCCCACTCCTAATAATTTGGCCAATCAGGGCCAGATTCCTCGTTACTTCCTGTTAACCAAAGATCTTTGTTGATAAGTCGTTTCAGTCATGTCTGACTCTTTGTAACCTTTTGGGGTTTTCTTAGCAAAGATACTGGAGTGGTTTGCCATTTCCTTCTCCAGCTCATTTTACAGAGGAAACTGAGGCAAACAGGGTGAAGTGACTTGCCCAGGGTCACATAGCTAGTAAGTGTCTGAGGTTAGATTTGAACTCATGAAGATGAGTCTTGCTGATTCCAGACCTGGTACTCTATCCACTACACCACCAAGTTGTCCCTTAATCATAGACAGACATGTTATTATTGATCATCCTCCTACCCTAGGAATACATGGATGGGCCATACTTCCATGAGGCCATTTCCAAATGCTTAGATCCTGAGGAAGACATATAAGTTCATACAACAGGTCATTAGGAAGCAATTAGTGGATATGATTTCTGAGGTCCCTTCCAGCTCTGACATTTTAAGTGAACCTTCTAAAGGAATGGTAGAGTCTGAAGGGATCTTGTGACCACCTAGTTCTGAGGCCCCAATAGGTCAAGCTGCCCACACTCACACAACCAGTCAGTGGCCAAGATGAATGCTGAAAGTGGGGAATTTCCCGATTCATTTTGTCCTGCATGTAAATTTGATCTGTGAAACTGAACAAAGTTTCTCTCTACAAAATAGCAGTGTCAGAGACAACCATAATGTTAGAGTCTAATCTGTAGAATGGTAACAATAATATGTGTACTGTTGAATTCATCTGATTATTGTGAGAAAAGCACTTTGTAAGTCTTAGAATGCTATATGAACGTGACTTGTTAGTAGTAACTGCTTCCTTATTTGACAGCTAGGTCCTTCTTGCTGCTTGTGATTGTGCGGTGGGCCCGGCTTGAGTGCCAGTGGGCTTATTGATTTCTTGACAGGTGCCTGCATCCTAGCCATGCAGAACTGTACCTGCTGACACGCAGCATCCTTCTTCTGCCTTCCACTCACCATCCATTTGTGTATGCTCCAAGAATACAAAAAAAAATGTAATACTAATCTGAGGAAAAATAACCCCTTTTTAATCTTTTTTTCCCCTGGACCTGTGATTTTATCGGTATTGGATCTCTCATACCTGTATCAGTACAAGTCAGCAACTATGCTGCAATTTATAGTCTTAAAGAATTTCCAGGGGCAACTAGGTGGCTCAGCAGATAGATCATCAGCCCTGGAGTCAGGAGAACCTGAGTTCAAATCCAGCCTCAGACGCTTACTAGCTGTGTGTCTCTGGGCAAGTCACTCAACCCAGGTTGCCTCTTTTATGAAGTTAAATGACTTGCTAAGGGCCACAGAGTCAGTATAATGTTAGAGGTAAGACTTGAACACAACTCTTTCCAGCTCAAATGTCAGCTATCAGTTGCACTATATCGCATAAAGATAATAACACTTGAGAGCGGGAAGATACATTAGAGATTATCTGTGTGACTCCAATGACATTTGATATACTTCTCTAGGCCTCCGTGTCATCATCTATACAATGGAAAGCTGGGGTGGATGGGAGGGTAGGATGCACTGAATGAATCAAATAATCTCTAAGGTAATTTTGATTTCTGAATACTACGGTCCAATGATCCATAATACATTTTACCATTAATTAAATTGAGGAGTGATTTAGGAAGATGAAAAAAAAAGTCAAACAAATGATTTCAGGATTATCATTTATCTTGGATTATCTGTAATATCATTATTTTTATAAATAATATTTTGTTTTTCCCCAGTTAACATGTAAAGAAAGCTTTTCACATTCATTTTTTTAAAAATTCAAACTCTATTGATGAGGGTAATCGAAAGGTAAATGGGAAGTATGTTCACAGAGGATGGTTCTAGCCTCTAGGAGAGACTGGAAAGGGTCTCTTACAGAAGGTAGGGTTTGAACTGAGACTTGAAGGGGCCCAGAGAAATGAAGAAGTAGAGAAAAGAAGAGGAGGGCAAATCGCATAACCCTGTTTGCCTCAGTTTCCTCATCTGTAAAATTAGCTGGAGGATGAAATGGCAAACCCCTCCAATATCTGCCAAGAAAACCCCAAATGGGGTTACAAAGAGTCAGACATGACTGGAACAACTGAACAGGCAAGAAAGAGGGATAGCACAGATGGTGCAAGGTGCTGAGTGACTAGACCTGTGACTTTATTGGTACAAGTAATCAAGAGAAGAAACTCCATTTGCCACCTGGTCCCTGTTCTGCAACTTACAGTCTTAGAAAGCTGCCTAGGGCACTGAAAAGGTAAGTGACTTTTCCAAGGTCACATAGTATTTGTCAGAGGAAGAACTCAAATTTAGGTTTTCCTGACTTTGAGACCAGCTCTCTATCCATTAAATAACACTGTTTCTGCATACTTACCATGTTGTAACTTATATGGTAGTTATCTATGTACTCATCTATAATTCTCCCAACTCTCCCTACTAAATTGTGGTCTTGGAAACAGCATCTTGTTTCATCTTTATATTCTCAGTGCCTAGCGAAGGGAATGTCACATGGTCGGTGCTTGACAATTTCTTTTCCCAATTAATAGTATTTTATTTTTTCCAATTACATGTAAAGATAGTTTTCAACATTCACGTTTATAAGATTTTGTGTTCCATATTTTTTTCTCCCTCCCTCTTTTCCCTTCCCCTTCCATTCTCATCTATTTTTTTCTTTCTTCTGTTTCTGTTCGACTGATTCTCACTCTCTCAGACTCATTAGCTTCCATTTGCCCAATTCTAATTTTTAACAAGTTGTTTTCTTCTATTAGATTTTGTACCTCCTTTTCCATTTGGCCCATTTTATTTTTTAAGAAATTCTTCTCTTCAGTGAGTTTTTGTTTCTCTTCTTCTGTTTGGCCAATTCTTCTTTTTAAGGAGTTGTTTTCTTCAGTTAATTTTTGTCCTTCCTTTTCCAGGCTATTGACTCTCTCTTGCACACCTCTCATTTCTTTTTCCAATTTTTCTTCTACCTCTCTTATTTGGCTTTTAAAATCCTTCTTGAGCTCTTCCAAGAAGGCTTTTTGGGCTTCAGACCAGTTCGTATTCCCTTTTGAGGTTCCAGATGTGGGTTTGTTGACAATGGTGTCCTCTTCAGAATTTCTGCCTTGATTTTTCATTGCTCCCATAATAAGAATCTATAGTATGTTTCTTTTTGCTCCGGGTGTTTGCTTATTTCCTCGTCTTTAAACAGATTGAGCTCTCCTGCTGGAGATCATGGGGCACTGACCCAAGTGTCTTGTGTTGGGAGCCCAGGGCTTGGTCACTGGCTTTGTGTACTGGGGCCTCCAATGCTGGCAGTTGGAGGCTGTAGGGTTCTGGCAGCTTACCTGGTATTGGGCTGGAATAAGCAACACTGGAACTCTCAGGGCATTTTGCTTTCTTTGGCTCCTTTCAGATGGATGTTTCACTGCTGTGGGATATTTCTCACCTGGGGCTTTTCCCCTTGAAGCTGCACTTCCCAGAATTTTGATAAGGCACTGGGAAACTTTGCCCGTGGTGATTTTCCCAGTCGGTTTCCACTGGTTCCCCTGCCCGTAATGGGGCACTCAGGGGTCCTGGTGTTGGTGCTTGCCTACTCCACTACCTGGGATTCAGGATCTCCCCCTGGCATGCTGAGATGAAGCCTTCCTCTAGCTTGCTGGAACACCTCCTGTTCTGCACCGCTCCCCCTTCCCCAGGGCAAGAGGGACCTTTCCAGCTAATCTCTCAAGCTTCCTGGGCTAATAGACTGCTGCACCCTGTCTTTCTGCTGGTTCAACTGTTCCAGGGTTTTTCCTGGGGCGATATTTTCTGGGCTTTCAGAGGTTAATAAGGGACGATGAAAGTGACTTACTTCTTACTCCTCCATCTTGGCTCCCAGAAATGGAACCCCTTCCCCAAAACAGTAAGCAATCCACTATAGGCTATGCATGGACAATCATATTTAACATATTTCCATATTAGTCATGTTGTGAAAGAAGAATCAGAACAAAAGGGAAAAACCACAAAAATTAAAAAACAAAAACAAACACGAAAAAGGGAAAATAGTATGCTTCAATCTGCATTCACACTCAATACTTCTTTCTCTAGATGTGGATAGCATTTTCCATCATGAGTCTTTTGGAATTATCTTAGACCAATGTATTGTTGAGAAGAGTTAAGTCTATCAAAGTCAGTCATTGCACAATGTTGCTATTATTGTATATAATGTTCTCCTAGGTCTTCTCACTTCACTCAGCATCAGTTCATGTAAATATTTCCAGTTTTTTTTTTCTGAAATCCACCTGCTCATTTCTTATAGCACAATAATATTCCATTAGATTCATATACCACAACTTATTCAGCCATTCTCCAATTGATAGCCATCCCCTTGATTTCCAATTCTTTGCTGCCACCGAAAGAGCTGCTATAAATACTTTGTACATGTGGTTGACAATTTAAAAAAAAAATCAAATTGGACATAGGAGTTACTTGGAATTAGGGATGCTGGTGAAACATCAAGATGGAAATCTGAGACTAGAACTTTGAGAAAGTTCACATCTAGAAACAGATTTGAGAGTCATTTAGATAGCAGAGATGGTTGAACTCATGAGAGTAGATTAGACTGTAGAAAGAGAACACGGAAAGAGAGGAGAAAATCAAGCTGAGGACAGAATCTTAGGCAGTGGATTGAGGAAAGCACACATAGTGTTCCATCACAGTAGTCAAAGCAGAAGAGTTTCCATAAGGAAGCAGACATCGATAAAATCAAAAAAGACATCAAG